CTTTACTGTGAGAGGTACCCGAATGCAGCTCGTCATCCAGATCAACGAGTGTTCACAAATGTGCACCGCTTCCTGTTCTCAGAGGGGCAACTACCAAACCAATCACACGGTGAGGGAAGATATTTCCTTCCTTACGAAGACGTGGTGCTAGGAGCTGTCGAAGAAGACCCGAGTACTTCAGTGCGTGCAATAGAACTAAAAACAGGTGTGCCCAAAAGTACAGCCCATAGAATCTTGCAAAAAAACGTGCTCCATCCATACCACGTACAGCGTGTTCAAGCTCTTCTGCCCCGGGATCATGAGCCCTGGGTTGCTTTTTGTCGCACAATGTTAGAAAGAAACAGGGAAGATCCACGGTTCTTTGAAAAAAATTTATGGTCAAATGAGACGACATTTAAGAAAGATGGGTACATGAACCTGCATAACTTACACGAGTGGCACGTAGCAAACCCACATTTGATGAGAGAAGATAAATCTCAATATCGCTTCAAGATAAACCATTGGACAGGAATTTTAAATGGTAAAATAATCGGTCCGTTTGAGTTCCCAGAGACTTTGACCGCTGAGGTTTATTTAGGTTTTTTGCAAAATCATTTAGAAAATTTATTGGAGGACGTGCCACTGAGTATTTACAGGGACATGTGGTTTTAGCATGATGGCTGCCCAGCGCACTATGTACTCTCAGTGAGAGAGTATCTCGATCAAAACTTTCCAGGCAGATGGATAGGGTGGTCTGGTACAATACCGTGGCCAGCCCGGTCACCAGATTTGAATCCGTTAGATTTTTTTTACTGGGGAACTGTAAAAGGAAAAGTGTATTTCAAGCCGATTCAAAATGTAGCTGAGCTACGGCAAAGACTATTGGAAGCAGCTGAGTTTGTTAATAACCGTGGATTCGCTCGTTTAATAACCCGATCTTTGTTAAGAAGATGTCGAGCGTGTATTGCGACTGAAGGAAAACAGTTTGAGCATTTGCTGTAAAGGTAAATCATCATCAGCAGCATTTTGACGCCCACTGTTGTGCAAACAGTTATCCTTAAAGGTCCTTGTGCGTTTTCATAATCGCTGTTTAATTAGGAAATTTTGCAAAATTTCCATCAGTTTTTCTTCAAATAAAAATTGTGCATAAGTTAACGAGTAATCTTCTAAGTGTTATACCATTTTGGAATCCTTATTAAATGCGCCAACTTTTAAGGTTACTTGCCAAACTCGCGTAGTACATTTTTTTCCAGTACAGCCAGTTAAAGTTGAGCAAAGTTTTACTTTGGAATACTTGGTTGGGAAATAAGTGGCAATTTTTCCTGAACGAGAAAAGGTGGCAGTAAGGTTGAGACACCAGTTTGAAGATGCATTATTCATCATTACATTGTAAAAATAAAATCCAAAAAAAGTTAATATTTGTAGTAACAGGAGTTGACAGACTGCCGTAGGGTGTGAAATTTCTATATTTTTTTCATAGACCTATAATTTTCAAAACACATACATAAAATTTTTTTAAATATTTTTCTGATAGCTGCTATGACTTTGCCTATCACCCGTTTCGGCTTGACGCCGACTTCTGGGACACCCTGTATAATTCAATAATTGAGATATTGACATGAATCAAAAATAAAACTGTTGAGAAAAGTTGGTGCTTAAAATTCTCATACGAAGACGCATTATTCGGTAATCCAATGTTTCCACAGGGTGTTGCCTGCATAAACAAATTGTTGCAGCTTTTGCATTTAAAACGCATTTTTTGTGTGGTCACTAAACCTGTAGTTTGCACGTAGATATAATTGAATATTCCAAAGGCAGTCTTTCAAACAACCATATATGACATATGCTAGTACGAGTATATTGACTTCGAAACATTTTTGGCCGCATTTAAATTCACATAGTGCACCATATCAACAGCTAGTTCCTTAGTCGCTGCGTGATTTTTTTGGACGGGCAAAACAATAAACATTAGCATATAAATGTCCCATTGATAACCCTGGCGAGGATATTGACGCGGTTAAACTTTGACATCGATGTATTTTCCGCGGCGGTTATAATTGCCGCTAAGTTATTTAGATGGTAACGGTCGACGATAATTGAAGTCGTGAAGCGATTATTCTTCGAATCGTAAGCAGATGTGCGGCCAATAGCTTTTATTGTTCACTCCACGTCCTTTTCTGGAATCTTGCAGTTGTGGCTGTTCAAGTCGAAGAATGTGATTTATCTTTCACGAGTCTGAAATCTTTTGGAACACTCCTATGTAGCGACACTGTTGCAGACAAGAAGTATTAAATGTCATAAGGCGACATTACACAGTCTTTATTGCGAGGTAAAACCGCGAGCTGTAAAAACAACCCCGAAGCTTGACGCCTGGAGTACCTGTGGTGCTCTGACAGGATTGCCACGTTGGGGGATTTTCAAAAATTTGGAAGATTTTGACGTGAAATTTTCTTTTTTTTACACCGAAGTAACTGCATCCTCATGTTGCATACTCGCAACTCTAAATATCCGTTCGATAACAACTATCAACTGGTTAATTTCTAAGATATTCCAAGACTTAGTTATGGCCTCTACATATTGGCAAATATAAAAGAGGAGACGTAATACCCAAGGTTTGCTAAATTTGTCAAAGCTGAGCTTCGAGTTGCTGATTGCATGAAAGATTCATCTGGTTAAGCTGCAAATTCCCAATGTTGGTATTGATAGCGCATTCTCACTTTTAGATTTCCATTTGCAAGACTCAATAGAAACTTCAGCAATCTGCGACAAGTTCCGAAAAGGGAAAACTTTTACTTGCAAGTTTTGTAGAAGTTTTGATTACAGCTACAATCTGACTGAAACTGCTCGACGTCGTATGCATAGAATAACAATCCATATAGCCCGTATTCCAATTGAAGGATGTTCTTTGATATAAACTTTAAATGAACTAAGACGAATATAAACTATCAACTCAAATGAAATCAGCAAGCTGCTAAGCATGATATTATGTATTTGGAGCGTTGAAGTTGTTTGATCTGGATGTAAATGATATGCTTTATTATTCAGATATATTGAAAGCCCATGTAGGTTTAATTTTATTATATCTACCATTAATTTGTGTGGGTCAATTATTACAGAGGGGCTTTCAAGTGGCGGATGGATGTTGCAATGTTGTAACTTCGCACAGTGGCACATATCCTTCAAACTTCTATTAAAACCTCGAAGCTTTCTAGATGGTATTATTATTGTGCATCTTTGTTTTTCAATTGCTTTATATTTGACTTATTATGTCAATTATGTTTATTAAATGGTGAATGTGGTTGCATCTAAAAGTAACAAGGACACACTTCAAGATATTAGCACATTCACCATTTAATAAACATCTTTGACATGACAAGTCAATCAAAAATAAAGGTTTACAGTGACCCTTTACGATTTTATTTACACAGATATATAAGAACTTGGGCGGCACTATGTTTTTTCATATTTTTTTGTAGGTCGGAACGGCATATTTCGAAAACAAAACTATTAGAGACAAATGACAGACACTTCTGAAATAGGCGCATCAGGGACACGTAAAATCGGTTGCTACCTTTTCGGTACCAAACATTCCTATTTGCATTTTATCGGGCTGTAATTATCGATACACCAGTTACATTTTAACTCGGGCGAGTCGTTTTGCATCTGAGCCGGATTTATCCGCAATATAAATTCGACATTAATTGGGGAATCCAGGGTTCGCTTTAGAATTTGAATAATTTATATTAAGCCGTTAAAGACAGCCGGTGCTAAATTACGGAGCGCTAACGTGTCGCCTAAAACTTATATTTAGTTCGGAGGACTACTTGGTTAAATATAACGGGTGATGCAGTTAATTAGATTAAATTTGAAGGCTGCAGATGTACACATCCGACTATATAACAGGTGGAAGGTGGATGTTAACATACGGTGTCGCTGTCATAATGTGCCAACGTTGATTAGCTTCAGTTACAACTCTACTACAGTATACAGGGAAAACCATCAGACAAACTTGGTCCTCAGTGAATGCTCGAACCTGAAGGTTTTAGAATCTTGTAAATATGTGTTATGCCTTTTCAGCTGATTTGCAACCACTTTGTTACAGGTTTTGCGTTGTAGTTATATAATTCTTTACCAGCTAATTATAAGACCTAAGTTTGCAGATCTTCAAGAAGACAAGTTGCACTTTCTGGGCACGGCACATTAATTCATAAATTCAGTTTGCCGAAAAACAGCTTGTTTGGAACTTGGTCGTTCTATTGTTTAATTCTTTCTATATATCGTCAATGTTGATATTCCATACTTACTCCTTTTTTGTGATGTCAGTTTGTAGTATAGTTAAGAATAGCCATGGCTAGACTTCACCATACTATGATCAGTTTCTGAATAAAGACATTATTATTAATTGCTACCAGAATAATCTCAGTAAATTTTCGCAACTCTGCTTTACTGTGTAAAGGACTTAGATTTACCTTTATTTTTTTCATACGGGTACACTTTCCCACAAAAATTCCTAGCCATTACAAATTTGAATCGCCTGCTGTCCCACATAATGCACCTCTCAAAATTCTAATACAATTCTAGGAATAATTGAATTTACAATTAAATTGGAGATTCTATCTCAGCTTAATCACTGGACGCGCGGGTCACATAACAGAACCGCGTTTATGCTGATGAGCCGAAGCGCGAGGAACTAGTATTCGGTCCGATACGGGCGCGTTATAATCAAGTGCAAGTAGGAACGTTATTCGACATTAATATACAGATCTACACGTCCAAACTGCACATCGTGCACGATTCAGAAGCAAGAACAGTTTAATGACCGGTTCTAGAGTAGCCAACATGCCTTGTACCATAAAATATCTAATCTAGAAAATGTACCCAAAAAGGCAGAGCTTGGTCCACGGAAGTGATGCTCAATGATATTGCCTGGAAAAGCTCAAACAGTAGATTTTCATATAAAGAAAAATACTGGCTGAAACATGTAGTTTTAGAAAACTAGAACTGAAGAGATTGAAAAAAGTGGGCACCGGTGGGATTCGAACCCGCATTTTCTCCATTCCGTGGATCCGACATGGCCAATTAGTCTACAGTACCAGCTATCAACCAACTTTCAGGATCGTCCGTTAGAGACAAATACAATCATTGCCACGCCACTGATCGTTTGTGCTTTCAAGCTGATTGATGCCCCATCTGGCGGCGGGCAAGTGAAACAAACCGTATTGGTAATGTATCGGAAATCGTTTTCTAGTTACGATAGGTAGCTTTTAAGTTACGTGGTTATGTGTCTTAACAACGCCAGTACTGTGCCCCATTGATGTAATAGGCATCTTTTTGTAATTTCGTTTGAGAGATGCGGAAAAAAGGTTCAGATGTAACACAGTATTTTTGTGGCATAATTTAGACAATACATACTAGTAAAACAGCTTCCGGTTTCTATTATTTCTGTCTGCTTTCATTAAGACTTCGTTTTTTGTACTTCTTTCAGGTGCTTCACAAACAGAAACACATTACTCATTCTAAAAACGCGTACAATTAGACATCTGCAATTGACGATTTCATGTTAAAGTTTTGTCTTTGTTCCGAATTTGCCTACAATGACTGTGCTATCGGGCAGATACGGGTATATTCAAATTAGTGAGTGGGCAGCCGTTTAAAACAACCACTAGCAGCGAGATGTTTAATCGCACATGAAAATTGGAATTTTAAAGACTCCGTTCCCTCAACTTGAAGCAATATATTTTCTTTGAATTGTTTATTTACATTTGCGATACTTAAGATGTCTACAAAAATTAAACTGGTACATGCTTTCTCGAATCACTTTTTTCCAAGAAGCCACAGGCTCATTTAGACCATATGGTCATACTGCAGGCAGATACATCACAAAGAAGTGCTCAGAGTGTTTCTAAATCACCGGTAATATTAGAGAATTTCTCCTTCTTGCTGAATTAAATAAAGCTTTAGGGAACTATATTAACAGAAAATGACGCCAGTGTCAGGAATGTTCACCTTCTCAGAAATTTAATGCATTGTAAGGGCAAATATCATTAATGTTGCTCGTTTAAAAATCCCTTTAACAAGCTCCTTATCTTTACAGAGGTAAGCAGGTAGAAAAATTACTTAGAGATTGCATCTCGGAAATGGTAACCCATTGAAGACATAATAAGGAACTGAATTGACTGGGTAACAATGTTATACTTTGTCTTTAACTGGCAGGAATGAATCATCAAAATCAGCATCAAGTGATTTTATTGATAAAAATCAGAATTTACAACAAACTTGATTTTGTTTGTCTTGAAAGTTCATAGATAACTCAGAGTAATAATCAAATCAACTACAAAAAACATAAGTACTTATATAAGTGCACGGTTTCCATCGATTAGTGTTAGCCATGTTATTACAGCAAACTACTTATTAATAAGAAAGCCAATCAACAACTATTTATTATAATATTCAAAAAGGGTTGAGCTTAGACGGGACCAAACCAAATGTAGCAAAATCCTTCCTATAGATGCAGAGGCGTTTGTTTTTTCTTTTATACTCCAACCACCACAAGGCCTAAGGCCTAAACACCCATGGGGTACCGTGGCGCTATATATATATAAATAGGTGAAAAATTAAAGCTTCCGCCTTTTCTTGGGTACTTCGACAAAATTTAAGCAAGGAGGACTCTTTATACTTTTTTTATTCTCTCTAGCTTTCAATGGTCTTTGCCATCATCATCAGGAGCTGCAATTACATTGATAACAGTAGCAGCAATAGTGTAAAATGAATTTAAATTAACTTACAGTAGAATGTGAGGATGTTGCTAATTGTTGTTTACGGTAAGAAAAAGTAAAAAAAAAAAGTATAAAGAGAAATTTTGTCGAAGTACCCAACAAAAGGCGGAAGCTTTAATTTTTCACCTAACTGGTCTAGATGACAATGACCACGTCTCAAGTTATATATATATATATATATCTATATGGTGCTCGACGTCTTACTTATATTATTTATAAAAGAATCGTCATTTTCATCAACCCTGACAATTATTGCACTATATCTCACTGACATTCACTTTTTTTCTCTCTCTCTCTCTCTATCCCTCTCTCTCTCAAGGCACCTCCCGTCTTAGAGGCACCACATAACTGAATTACTAATGGATACCTTCAAAATCCGATATTATAAAACACTAAGATACTTCGTTCTTGCGATTTTCTCTAAAGCTTACTTAAAAAAGAGATATTTGCAAAAAGGTGTGCCTGATATTTGCCTCAGATTTTTCACTCCTTACCGTTTGCAACTTTTATATTATGCTATATGCATTTACTGTGCGGTCTATAAAAATTTCAAATCGAATACATAATACTTCTCTACTGCATTTACACAAAGAACGTTTGGGAAGCGGCATGCTAAGGAAAATCCGAAACAGTTCATAAACCTGTCATATGAAGTATGCCTGGGTTGGCAATAAAGCCGGTCATATTTGGAAAGTGCAAAAATAGGTCAGCGTCGTCTTCCTGGAGACGTGCAGAAACCGTGTTACACCGGCTTTAGCCGTTTTAACGACGTCATAAATCTCTAGGGGAAAATACACACCATCGACCAGCTTTCATCTTACCTCTGTGTATCCTCCGGTTTAACGTATGTATACGCTAGGATATTTTGGCGTTACTCGTATTGGAATTGCCACGGTGTGAAGAAAATTCTGAAGAACACAATGATTCCTGGAAAAGAAAAATCTATTTTGCGTCACTACAAATTCTCGGAAGAAGAAATATCATGGTCATGCAAGCTTCCTACTTTCCTTCAGGTCAAACCATTATGCCCTTCTATGATTACAATTGGAAAATATATCATTGGGCACGTTATCTAAAAAAAATAGTTATTTCTTCTTTTTACAATTTGAAACCTATTATGATGTTTACTTATTTAGTTTATTTTGTAGTAATTCTAACATTAGTGGATAAGTATTTATCGCTATAAATAATGACTTTTTCTCCGAATTCTGAATTTTAAAATATGCTTCGTTTTGCTTAACATTTAAGAAAGGATGCTGTTATTTCTGTTTAATGTGTTTATTAAATTATGGAAAAAGTATATTAAAATAAAACAAAATTCTACATTACTGCGTTTTTTCTTTGGAAGAGTAACATAAATAGATTACGAAAACTACAAAAGAGCAGTAAATCTCTTTTTGCAGAATATAAAAGCAGTAATTCATATATTTTTAATTTACGACAATTAAAGACGGAATGTCATTTATTTTAGGGGTCGACAACAATTATGATCCTAGATCGCATTCAAATGACTGTCCATGCAGTCATGTAAGTTTGTAATATTTATTTACTTTTGTTGTGTCGTGATATCATTTATTTAGCTCGAAAAAGTCTAGAATTTTGAACCCAGTTTTCTCAGCAGTAAAGTGTAAAATTCGCATTACACCCAAAACGTGCCGCATCCTATTGCATAAAAAAAGCTTATAACCCGATTTTATAATAGAATAATATTTTCAAATTTAAATTAAAATGTATTTTGTCTTGATACACAAATAAATCTATCGAGTAACTTTTTTTATTGAACTGTAGGAGAAATGGCTTTCTCGAATATGTTCAAGAAACTATGGAACATTGGTCTAAGTTTTGCAAGCACGAATTGTGAGGAATAAAAGACCTAGAAATTGAGATCTCATATATCTAAATATTTAATTTGCTGCAGCAGTTGCGTCACTGGATAGCTCGAAATTTAAAATCGTTAATCTCAAAGTGCTAGGCATTTTAAAAAAATGTTGAGCATTTTCGGTGTTGATCACTAGCAAAGCTTTAAATTTTGACTATTGCTTTTCATGCTTTTGTTAAGTTTTTGGTAAAAATAACCTTGGAATTGTCGATTTTTCTAAAACAACCACTCTCTACAATAAATTGAAAATATATGGACCCAATTTTATGATCCTTTCAAGCTAAGCTAAGCTACTTTTTTGAGCCAATGTGTATACCTAACCGTTTTTGGATTAATGCGACAAATCTTATTTTGTCAACCTTCAAGGGTAAAATAATATTAAATAAAGATGTAGCCAGCAATTTTTTTCTGATCTATTATTGGTTACCAGAATTGTTGATAGGATCTTAGGCTTTGTGTGCTGCTTCGCCTAAGGGGTACATATTTTTTTTTATTTGATGAAGTTTCCAAAACCATATGATAACCTCTTGCACACGTTTATTGTCATTGTTTTTGTTCTCTGGTTTATATGTCCTTGCCAATATTGTTGAGTCAACTTTTTCATTCGATGCTGAATTTACAGTTTTGAAATTTTACAAATATATTTTTTCACTTTTCTTAGTCCTGAAGAAGGTAAAAAATAAACGACAAGAATCCGAAGAAATTAAAAGTACAAAGGTACTCTCATAAACTATGTAACCCGTTCTGACGTTGTCCATATCTCTTTGTGCCGTATAGTTATTCCCTTTAAATGCCTTTAATACCCCGCCAATCAAAATTTAAAATCCTAGTTTCATTTTTTCTGATCGACCTATAAATAGTTAAAATAATTACCCCCTGAAATATTCACGCGTATCACAGGTGTAATTCCATGTAGCTTATAAATAACGGAGGGGTATCAATAAACCCATTCCTCATTCTCTATATTCTATATTTGTAGACGACCTGCATCAAGTCCTAATTTAATTATGAGCCAGCCTTTACCTACGGGAAAAATCGAAGTCAGGAGGCGGAGTGCTATGTTGCCACTTTTTGGTTGCATAAAAGTCTTATTTGAGCGTTTGACATGTCCACTTGTCTACCTAGAATCAAATGCGTCACCGAATCCGTAGCAAATTTTTATTTTTGTTTTCTATATTTCATCTTATACATTTCGGAAATCTCTTTCAAATGGCCAAACTATCAGGAAATTAAATGACAAGATTTTTTTTTGATTAACCCATGTGACATTTTACACTTTTAGAATGCCAAAAACGCACTCTTTCTAAAACTTGAATTTTTGGAACAACGGTGCTTCCGAAAAATCACTTGATTCGTCATCTAAATATTATTGCTGGTTAAATCGTGTATCTGTAAATAACAAAAAGCACATTACTGCAAAAAATGAAGTAAAGGAAACC